ATGCAGCTGATTGAGAGTACCCGAAATAACTGAGTTCATGTTATCCTCCTGAAATGTTGCTCTTCCTCGCCGTGATGAAATTTGTCAAGGGAACTGGATGTATGAGATAGGGAAATAGGCTTTGTGTTGATCGGCTTGCTGTACTTGTGGATGAATGCGATGGGATAACCATTGTCTATCAAGGTATTGGTCAGTCGGTCCAGTTCATCTGGCATGACGTGCGGACTGCATAGTCGGCGAACCCTGTGAAACAGAGTGCGTACCAGACCACGCTTGTATCCCACAGGGCAGAAACTCCTGAAGTGTAAATACTGTCCTATCCATTTAGCCTTTCGATGCATAGATATTTGTAACTTACCGTTTGACATTCGATTAAGTAGTAAGTCAAGGAATGGAAGTTTCGATTCCGGACAAATTGACCGAAGTACTGCAATATAAACGAAAGATTCCGTGCTTCTGTGTCAAAAATGAATTTGTGCATCGTGCCGGACTGAAGTGTCACATCTTGGTATAGGAATTGGATGCATTGGCTTTCGGGTCGTAGAGAGCGCCCAATGCTTGTGTCATTTTCGACTGTTGGCTGTGCAAGATTGCAGTGGGGCTGTTCACACACTCTCCGAATAAGGCCAGTTTTCCCGCACGCATGACACTTGTCATTGCGTAAGCGGCAATCGGAGTGCAGATGGTAAGCTCCTCATGACAAACAGGGATTGATACATTTATCGTTACCAGAAGGGTCTTGATGCGACTTCGGTGTACATTTGGCCACTGGAGGTCGGTTCGGTCTTGTTTTATGCCGTTGAAATAGTGTGACTGCGTCGCTGAAAGTAGCTTTCATCAGGTCATCACGTTGCTTACAGATCTTGCGGGTCTCGGCAAAAGTCAAGTCCTTCTCCAGCAGCTTCCGTTGGAGAGTCAGATTGTTGATGCCTGCCACTAAGCGGTCAAACAGTTGTACTTCCAACCGATCACCACAGTTGCAGCATGATGCCTGCTTGTTCAGCTGCAGAATAAAATCACAGCAGGAGACATGATCAGCAGGAATCAACGAATTGAATTCGGCCCTTTCATGTACTTGGAACTCGGTGGTCAACAAGTGGTTAAGCAACAACGATTTGAGAGCTTCGTACGGTAATTTAGCTAGTGCATCAAGAAATGCCAGGTTCTTCAACAAAGGATACAGATCGCGACAACCTGCAGTGAGGAATAGAGCTGATAGGTTTTGGAAGCCACCTTTACGAATGCGGCACCACAGTTCGAATCGTTCGACCGATTTCTCAAACTCAGATGGACTGGCTTGCAGGTTCAGTTGCTCAGTGGTTGGGAGCTCCATCACGCGACACCAATTTGTAGTGATTGCAGTAATATGCACGGAACTCGGAACACGAACCACGCAATAGCAATCACAAGACACGAATCCAGAATCAGCTATCATGGACTGGATCATGTAAGCACTGGACCGTACTCGCTGTAGCACGCAATATCCCATGCGACTGAGACGCGAGATAAGGCCACAGGAATGGTAGTTCGTTTATTGGAAGAAATAAAGAGGATTAAATGATATATACAAAGTAGGCTCATTGGTTATCCGGACTTCTACCAATCGCCTTTCAGTATTGCTGGCATCATTCTGCTTCCGTCTGGGCCGCACGATCTCTGATTGATTGCTACGATCTGCCTATGGTATGAAATCAGAAGCAGTGATACGTACGCGCGATTTGATGTCACCCGTGAGATTTGATTGATCGCATATGTCCAAAAGCTGCAACACGCCGCTCCAGGGTAGGCGTCATCTCTTGGGCCCGGATCACCACGCAACTGCTCCAAATCGAGATCCATTGTTTTACAAAACTTTCCAGACGGAGCGAATGAACCAAAACACCGGCCACCAGCTCATCTGAGAAATCGCTGTTGCCTTCCAGTCTACACATGCTTGCTAAAAGGTTAGATTGCACCGTCAAACAAGGTCACTCTGGATTGGGCGACCGAGTAGTACAACAGCCCACACCGATTAATTTTCATGCGCCATAGAATCTGTACTCCTAACTTTCCTCGATTATCGTAAACTTTTATACATCGTATAAACCTTCATCTTTACTAAGTTCTATCTTCAACCTCGATGCCTCTTCTAGCAAGCCACATTCACTGTGCGCACTGATGCGATTAAGCCAACAGGCCCGTTTGGCTCGTACGCTTGAAACCCTAGACATTGATGAGCGTTTTTTATCCAAAACACTCGTATTCAAAACTCCAGCTCCACCCCCCCCCACCCCCAATTAATTTTGATCGTTGACCTCGATCAAATTGCTAGCCCTCGCAGCCATTGAGATGATCGGTTTGACAGCCATTCAAGACTCTTCTTGTCTGGACAGAATGCCGTCATTATCTCGTTATGCAATTGTGATTTCAAAACGCAGCTTTTGTTACTGATGCATTCATATTTCTTTACGCTTTGACACTGCAAGCCCCTCACCCTGCGTTTTTTGTCTATTCAAGGTTTTTAACCCTGTTATCTTAATCCTACTTAGGCCATTATAGGGCTGTATTTCAAAACAGTTTAGTGTTTTAGTGATTTCGGGATTTGTCTCACCGGATTTCCAATGTAAAATCTGTTCTACTGCAATAATTCTTACAGTTTCATCATTCGAAGCTTTCTGAGAGTGCCTATACTCCATCGCGTACCGAATACTCTACCAACCCCGTTACGCTCTCTGCAACTTCATTTCGCAGATCGAAATCTGTAAAATACCTCCGGGCAAGATTAAGCATTGATTTATGATGATCCTCCAACGTGGAAACTTCCTTGAGTGATCAACACTCTGTTCTTTCAGAGTTGCAAGCTCTGGCGATCTCGAGTTCGACAGTCTACCATCTTCAAGTTTTTTTCGACAGTGTGTTATTTCGTCAATCTCATCTTACGCCCCGTTCTTTTATTCCTGGCTTGTACAAAGATTACCTAATGACTCCAGTTCATGGTACTTCGATATTAGGCCGCAATTCTGGTATTCCCCTTAATGAAGTACTCTAAGAGCATTGTGGTTTCGTGTGAAAGGTTTGCTTTTAAGGTCCTTGAAGATCCTTCAGATATCCATTGAATGCTATCCTTCTAGATACCCTTTCCACATCTTTCCTCGTTTCGAATGCCGAATAATTCCTCCACTTATTGGTTTGTACGGGAATTCCTCTGTTGCGTATTTTTTATGCGTACATGTCAAGAGGAGCTAGGTGGATAATAACTGGTATTTCGGCCTCAAAATATGAGTCCGAATTATTACTTACTTCCCCTGTGTAACTATTACACTTCTTCTCCTATTCGTGAACTCTTTCATCGTTATCAGTGGGGGAACATTCAACTAAAACATCGGTGTAAAAGCTTGAAAAGTTTTGTTAGTACACGTATTAATTGGTGGTAAAGTGGGTTCTCCTGGACATAGTCGAAGATTTAACTTCTCTGTGGGATAGAAAAATTGAATCTTGAATAAAATCAAAGTTGCAAGCATAGAATGCCTCGAAAGCTACTGAATTTCGCACTGCTCGATTGCCTCAGTAGTTTGAGCTCCATTTAGTCTGACAAACCGTCATGTTTGTTTTGCTAACCCAAAATCCGACGTCAGTTACTCAGCGCTCCGTTTGTAGACGTCTGAAAATTTAATCTTATTCATAACTTGAAAAAACTGTTGCATATAGAAAAGAGGATGCCCGTTCCAGAAACAAAATATTCTCCTTGTAGATTAACCGAATTCGATGTTTCTAAAAACTCTAATATTGAAGCGAGTCAGAATACCCCTCTCCTTTAGTTCTATGCAGATTCCCGTGATAGTGGAATTCTTTAGAGTATCGATTATCAATCTGTATCGATATTAGCTGCTTCAAAATCACTTCTTACACTGAGTACGTGACAGACGAATGACGATTTCCTGATGACTAGTAATACACCATATTTCGTCATAGATCCTTCATATACGTCAATAAGTCATTTTGCTGAATATCACGATTATGATCTTCTGGGTCGTCCGATTTCCATGTGTCACCAATTTATGAAGAAACCTCTGGGCTATGTACAGTGGTATCTGACGAATAATCGGTTTGCGCTTAGTTTCACTGCATTGTATTTTTTCTGTCTGCTTTTCGTGATTCAATGGTTCCGAGAGAATGCGCGCACCTTGTGGCGTCGAATGAATATTATTATCACGCTGATGAAGGAAAGGAAACGTTTAAAAAAAGAAATGGAAGCGTCCAAACAGGAGGATGGTTTTCAAACAGTCGATAACTATGCGGCAGCTGCATTTCGAGCATACACTGGTCTACTTGATATCTATGACGAAGGAACAAATGTTCCAATTCCCGTAACCTTAAATGACTTTGAGATGGTTCGTTTTGTATGCGAATCGGATTGGGTGAAATGTGAGACAAACCAGCGGTTGGAATATGCAACTCAAACCGTCGGTCGAGAATTTCCACTAGTATATCCAGCTGGCGAAACGTTTTCTGAAGAAGTGCATCAACTCATCGACCACAAAATGACCGATGAGGAGGCGACCGAGTTGGGCCCGGCAACTCAGAAGCGACAGAGTATTTGGATTGGACGACATCCGGCATCCAAACGAGGACCCAGAAAGCGATTCAAGTCGATGCATAGAACCACCATGATACAGGAGGGACTGTTTGAACCGATTGATGATAGTTACCTGGATGAGCTCAAAACCAGAGGCATACGAGATCCGTACGACAACTTGCGGTGGCGACACAAGTATTTTGAGGATCCCAACAAACCGAAGAATTCATCGCAAGACTCAAATCAGGAGGCGAAAAAACCACTTAGTGAAGAAGAGGCGAAACGTTTGACCGAGTTAACTGGGTGGACTCAGGAGTATCGAAGACGGGTGAAGAAAGCAGCGGAAGAGCTGGAAAATTCAACTCAAATGATTCTGTGTCATTCTCCAGAGAAAAAGCCGAAACCGGATGCAGCTGCACAAAAACTGGACAAGAAAACACATCCTGCTGAGAAGGAAGAAACAGAACAAAATGAAGAGGATAGTTTGGCCAGCTTTCGGGCTACTCCACACTACTTTTCCTTCGAAGATTTTCCTCCACTTGCACAAGATATACCGGATAGGAGTCGAGTCCCTTCGCCCATCGGAAGAAGGCCATTTCAAAGCTTTGTTTCCAAGAATCGTAATCAGCAACGAGATAACAATGAATCCAATCGAATCCAACGGCAGGTGTGTGGCGGATATCAACAACAAATGTTTAAAAGATCAGACTATCAAAAGAGAAGCCCCTCGACTAAATCGTGACAACCACGCCCATGAAACCAAATTCAATTACGGTATGGAAATCCTCGACCTCAAGACTGTTTATAAGAAGACAAACTGTTACAGTTTCCGTTGTTGAAAGCGTTTCTAGTTGCCAGCGCTTACCCGTGAGTGCTAAAGCAAAATTTGACCAAAGATTGTTATATTAGCGTAGCATACAGTAATGCTGACCAGTAGCAAACTGCAATCGCAATAAAATTTAGTCCTCAGCAGTTATTGATCTCCGTTGTTTGAGTGGATGTCTAAAGGTGGGGGGGGGGCTCCATCATAGCTGTACGAACAAATGTCTTGGGTGTTGTAACGAATCAGTGCCTTAGGTTCTCAAATTTGATCGAAAAGGTGCACCCATGGCCGGGGGGTACTAAACTTGGTCTTTCCTGTAGGGCATTCAAAACTACAAATGATTCCTACACGAAGGGTGAAGGATGAAGTTGATGACAGATTTGGCAGCATATTCCACCATGATATATATATATATATATATCGCCGGCTTGTAGACAAGCCTGGTGTCAACGCCAAAACAACCTCCGCTTTGTACTTCATAAGACAAAGAAACATTACTGCGGTTTTTTGCAGACATAAACGTCTTAAAAAAATAATTTATTTGAAAACTGCAGTTTGAATCACGCAGCGTTTGTAGTTCTATAATTGCAAATCTAAAATCTGGAAATCCAACAGAAACTACTAAATCGCTAAACACCAAATAGTCAGATCAAGTATATGCTTTATTATCAACAGAACAAAGATATTTCACTTATCATGAATCTAAACCAATGTACACCATTGAACTGCGTGCGTTCATATTGGTTCTTTATTGCTAGCCAAAAAAACCACTAGATCAAGTAATCGCGAAGTATGTTTACCAATTAATTTCACCTCAGCACGTTAATGATTTCAAAGTTCATTACAAGTTTAACCTGTGTTTTCGGTGTCAAGAGGGATACAAACTAACGACAGACGATCGCTGAATATGACTCGACGTCTAATTCTCATTCCAAGAAGCCCTAGAAGCTTGTTTCAATTTTGCGATTTCTTTATATTAAAAGCCGAAGCTGAGTCCGAGCTTACGGCACATTTTCGCTCGAACTTCTCTCCGTTTCTATTCAACTTTGTCGTAGATTTTATTTTTGAAACAGCCCTATTCTCGTGCGAAGATAGGGGTATCGATTTGCTCTAAGGTGACAGACTGTCTGATCTGAAGTATGTAGACGACATCCAGGTAAGTTGCAAGCTGTTTTGAATAGTTTGAGCGCTAGTGCATCTATCTTTATGCCTTTTTCTCCATAAATGTGTAAAGGCTGCTAAAAGATCGGGTTGGTCCAGCACCCAACTTCACTCCAACTGGGGACGTGGCACAGGAAGAAGACAGGATAAAAATCGATCGTCGGTGTTCGAACACCGCTGTCTAAGCAGCATTGCGCTAGTCTGGTGGGGAAACCGGACGAGCACTGCTGACGTTAGGTACAGAGTTTTAGGTATTCGCGGTCGTCCACTGGAACAAGTGGACGACCTCCATAGATTACGTTAGGTAGGACATGTTTTACGCATGCCACCAGATAGGTTGCCACAGCGAGTGATGTCAAATTAAGACTTGTCATGAGGGTGTGAAATCCCTAACCAGGGGACTGGGTCACATGGGTTATGGACACTGGGTGATATGGATGCTCTCAAAATTCCAAACTTCATTCTGATCTTTTATCCAAATTGGCGGCCAAAGGAAAGCGAAAAAAACCAGCGAGTGAACATGGTTGTAAAAACTGAAACTGATTAGCAGTAAATGAGACCCAGGAAAAATACCTATTTATGAACGAATCTACGGAAGATACACAAATCGCAAGAGTTCCTTCGTGCTATATCTATTGTCTATTATGGTGTGCATTGTTTGTAAAGCCGAAATAGAAAGTAAAAGACGGGTGAATCAAAATAGCACGACTACCCGGTCTCGCTTTCATCTAATTAATGTTGGTAATACTACGTCATTATCGAAAGAGTAAATTTCATACTATGGACTGAACTATTCCAGGCAGTTCTTTCCCCCAAATAATAAATCTCAATGGAGGCCCGGTGTTTTGTGAAGTAAACCGTCCAATTACTGTAGAAAAATATCAAGCAATATGCGGAAGTCGACAAAGTTCAACTTTTAGTTATTCTATACCGCTAAGGTGATGTGGTTTACTGTCATTACACCAATGTCAAAAGCCTGAGTCGCTCTGAATTCAAATAATCATAAGTTGTATTTGGGACGGTACACGTGGTTATCGATCGATCGAAGATGGCAAATCACATGAGTTGGTTTGTACAATGTCAACTGTGGACTAAAGAATAGACCAACGTATCATGCCAAATTTTTACGGTGTGGATGAAATTATAATCGACCCATCTTATAAAAGCTTGAAAACCTATCAAATTCGCTACAATTATGACCTTTTGGGACATCCCATCGGAGTTGGACGCGATTTTATACGCAACCCAGTGGGATATTTACGTACCCAAATTAGCACTTACAAACTGGAACTAATTTTCAGTTCGGTGTTTTTCTTTTTTGCTCTATGTGTTTACTTTGTATTGCAGGAACTCTTCAGTTATTTTTCGCATCTCCTTAAAGTGTCTGTAAAATTTACAAAAGAATGGTTTTCAGCCAGAGGTGAAGTAAAAAAGCGGCGCAAACGAGGTTTGCCAACCTATCCGGATATCTATGCGCAAGTTATCTACCGTGCGCTAAATCATTTCTACAAAATTCATGATGAGACACAACCGAATCCCATACCAGAATCATCGATCGACTATGAGGCTATTCGATTTGCGCTTGAAGCTGCTTGGACCACCGCTCCAAGTATACGAGCACTGCTTGAAGCGGACCCATTTCTAGATCCTGAAGACGAACCGATCGAAGGTGCGATAGAGGATGAGGAACTGGAATCTATGATACAGAAAACCATGACATATTTGAGAGAAAGCGTGCGAGGATCTGAGGAACAATCCGAGGAGTCAGAAACCAGCGAACGTGAAGAAAACTCCAGTTGGAGCGAGTCTGGTGACAGGACATTGAGCAGATCGGAAGGAACCAGTCCAAGTAGCGAAGATCATCCACAAACTCGGAGGGGTTTAACGATCGAACAAACAGAACTTGAGACAATATACGAAGTGGATAATTATGACACGCTGGATGTTGGGGATTACGACTACGATAGGTATGAAATCCATGGAAGAAATGTGTCACACAAGCCATCGAATGAAGAAACACAAAATACACAGACTAAGCATAAGGCGAGTAGGCCAAGGCAGAAGAGAAAATTGACGAAGGTGAAGCAATGGACATAGGATCATGGCATTTGAAGGTTATTGCTTACGTGATGACAGTTGATGTTAATCATTTCATTGAGTTATCGGGAGGTCGTTGTACGTTTCGAAACATCATTTTTATTGTTCATCTTCATTGCAATTATCACAATCTAAACTGCCCCGAAAAATTCTCTTTTACTTGAGATTCGATTATATGGTGGATTTCGTCGTGAAGAGAACAAAGGAAGCAATGGACAGCTGCCTCAATCTGGCTGGGTCTCATCAACAATGTGAATCCATCGACCCAACTGAGGATCGAACCCGGCACCTCACAGGCAGAACGCAAGCCATCTACCCACTTGAATAGCGAGCAGTTGATCAGACCGTTTATTTTCATTTCATTCATACCTGATATAGCATAGGATATCTTTGCAACTTTTTTCGGGAATCACCCAACCAGGTCAAAAATAGCCTTTCTGTGCTTCCAGTACACGCTTTGCTCCCTACGGTGTCGAGTCAACCGGTTACAGACAATGCAATGAAGAGAACCACTAGGTACAAGGCGATTGATCACTAGTTTTATACGCCCATTCACCTGAACAGCTGTGAAACCTGACCGCGAAGTGCTGAGGATATAAATCCAGACTGGAGGCACTGGATTACCAATGTCTGGGACTTTTTAGTCTAGTACACCTGCCGGAAAAAACGTCAAATAGTATGATTTTCATAACCCAAAATAAAAACGCGCTCAAGTACCTGTTCAGCAATATGGCCTGCGATTATTCGGCTCCAAAGAGGCGATTTTCTTAAACTAGCTCAGCCTTTCAATCCGGAGGTGCCACCAAAGTAGGCAGCTGAAAGTCTGGAGCTTCGAAATATCTGGGGAGTTCACCTTTGAAAGAACTAATCTAAAATCTCACCAGTGGGTTATAGTTGGATCAACCTGCTCGAAATAGCGAAAGTAACTTTGAACAAGTGAGCCGAAACAAACACAAACGATACCAGGGCTGAAATCTTTGGTTGTATTGCAATCTCCCGAAGCTGACCTCTGATATTTGTAAAGCTATGGACGGAAGCCCAAGCATTTATCGGCAATACATATACATATATTATATATATATATGTGTATTTTTCGGTCGGGGCATTTTGTTGGTGAGTCTGGTAGTCATACAGTAAGCTTAGCTTTCGGGGAAGTCCATCAATGCGTATCTCACGGGTGTTGTATATTTTGAAATATTGTATGATAACTGAAATCAATTTGAGTGTCCTAATAAACTCCGCAATGAGTAACGCTTGTGATCTATTTTAAAAGGCGGGTTTTCCATTTTGTCCAGCATCAACCTGGCGCTGACGTCCTGTGATGGTTTGGGCTGCCGTCTTTCGGTTACTTGATGGGTCAGTTAGTTAGGAGGCAGCAAACAGAGGAATAAAAAGCTAGAAGTATTATTACAAAATGATACTGCAATTTAACTAAATCCATGTAGAAAGTGGGCACTGTTTGCTATAATCTGACGTGTCACTGTCTACAATCGTTGATTAGGTTAGTCGCGAGGTCCAGAACCAGGAAATCTGACTAGAGTCGTGAACAGGAGCCTTCGATGGGGTTTCATGCTGTCTGATCAGGTCTTACTTTAGTCACCGATTTTTCTCAGTCCATAATCTGCCTCAACAAACACTGCTTGATCAGGAGAGCTACCCGGCGATATGCGTAACACATGCACCAGTAACCGTAATCAATGGAGATCAAACACTTAAAACTGCGTTGTGATCGGTAAAAGACTATGGTGGGCTTTTCGTATATAGAATGAAAAACTGCATAGAACGAAATAAAAACAGAAGTAACCAAAATGAGATATATCTATTACCAAAGAAGCTGTAAACGCCACATTATCGGGTTATGAGATTAGAAGTCGAATAGAAAATACATTCTGGTTACTATCATCGTTGGGGATGCAGACAAAACGTTCGGTGCTTCCAATTGAAGGTGAGTGGTTCCGCGAAGACCAGCAATTTTACTTCTCATACGGACATCCGTTAAGCGTGGCAACTATATGTCTAGAGGCTGAAAGTGAAAACAACAAATATGTACAAATATTAATTTTTCAGTGTTCAGATGGGGAGTGTGAAAAAAGAATCATCAACAAGATGGGGCATAAGTATGGGTATGGATGCCACTGATACGAACAATCTTGGAGGAAAAACCGTTTGTCGACTATTAGGCATACATGAAGTGACGACAGATTACCGGATACGCATGTCTAACGAGCGATATGAACCGCGGTACCGGTCGTGTGCTTTCAAGGAAATTTGTGGAGTTATTTATATACTACGTATTGTAAAACATTCTATTTTTCTGGTTTAGAATGATCACCTTAAAAAATCGCTCGTGATGGGCTCGTTAGAGTGATAAACTAGGGATGAAGGATTGATCACTAATGCCTAGGCTGGAAGAACAACCGTTGGCATTTCCACTATTAATGGAAGATGATGTGCGTGACTGAGCTCAATTAAGGACGTATATATGATTACACGTGAGAGCAAATGAACGCTTTACTGCAGATGACCAAATCTCATGCATACAGCTTATTGAATATTTTCAGTCCAAAAGTTCAAAACAAGAGATTTCCCAGGAGACATTGGTTGAAACAAACACATCAGATATAAGAAAGTGAGGCAACAACACAATTTCCCGGAGGCAGAATGATGCTGACTGGTCAGCAAGAGGGAGGGTATATATGACCAAAAGAAACGATACTCACAAGAGGTATTCCGGTGCTCGCATAACCAAATTCCTTGCCAAGTACCCAAGCCTAATTGACCTTCGACAATGGGTATTGTGATATTTGGGCCACCGAGGAAAGCATGCTTTGCATGTGCCGGCTATGATACAGAAGAAATGCATGGAAATATCGTCAATTCTTAAAAAAGAATGAAATAAAGGAGTAATTACCGATCATTACCAAGGAAGCGAAACAATATATTGCAGAAAAGTGTGCGACAGGAGAACTTATAAATATAATACATAATATAATAATAATACTATAATAAATATTTAATTATAAAAGGGCAACTCGTTTAGTCCCGTAAACCCGAAAACAAAGGAAGTACAAATAATGCTTAATCGGACATTTCGATATTATGAGGAGATATGTATTGCCTTTTCGGATGTGAATATAACCCAGGATCAACGTTACGCGCCTCGATCGACGAAAGCAAATTAATCCATTGAAACTACGTACTTCTTCATCGCGGTGATTTATACAACTATTGACTGTTGTCCAAATCATTAGAAACAACCAAAGAACATCTGCATGTGCAAAGTTTTAGTTTGCACCACACCTTAGCAGAAATATATTGAAATGATACTTAAGTATTTTGCGAAAAACATTCGAAAGAAAAACAAAATTCTAATATGAAAAAATCAAACGCCATATAGAATAATGTTGAAAACCAGTTTTAATCGACTAGCACAGGACAGGTGGCTTCGCACCACAGTTGAATTTTTATCCTTGATTAAACTTTAAATGGGGTGCAGTTTACCTAGGATAATCTGGGTGTAAATCCATGAAGCACATTTCATTTAGCTTTATATTATTATATGACGTTTATCTTATGAAGATTTCAATTCGTTATTATAGTATGATCCCTTGTATTTGTTGGTTCAATACCCGAAGGCGCTTTTAAGATGTGAAAGAGAATCACAAGCTACCAGTTCAGTTCAGTTTAAACAACCATTAGGCATACATTTCCCTGTAACGCTTTTGGCTGCCCATTTGGTCACAAGCTACCAATTGAATTCGTCTTGCGGAGAGGGACCTGGATAAAAGATCTTGAACGGTTTCAAGACCTATGGACTGAGCAAAAGGATTTCGACCTGTCCATGTGTGCTAGCTATGACTGTGATAATGTACGTTAAAATGAGATCGTCAATTCCCCATTGTTTGTATGCATTCTAATGCAATGGAAATGTGTGTGATAACTAACAAAGAGAACTAGACAGCTGCTTCGTCCTTTTTGGGACTCGTCAGCAGTGCGTGCTTTTTGTGTCCCTAAAAGTACCCGAACTGCGACCAGTCGGGTCGGGACTTCAAACCCTTACCCATGAGCTACACGGTCGACGGTTACCACCTTGTGCGAATGGTTATCACAAACATTTCCATCGGTTTTGAATGCATTATCTCGTGGGGAGTTAACGATCTCCCAAGGAGTGAAACCCACACCGAAGACCATCAAGAGTGCCTGGTGCCTCTGAACAATCGAATGGGCTAATCCAAGCTTAATACTCTAAACATTGACCGAGCCATTCGCAAAAGGTGATAACCGTCGACCGTGTAGCTCAGGGGTAAGGGTTTGAAGTCCCGACCCGACTGATCACGGTTTGAGTCCTGACAGGGACACAAAAAGCATGCACTGCTGACGAGTTCCAAACAGGACGAAACAGCTGTCCAGTGCTCTCTGTTGGTTATCACAAACATATCCGTAGCTCTTTTGGAAATGTACAGCGAAAGTTGCACAGAAGCTCGTTGGATGGAGCGTTGATTTATCTTCAAAATGGTACCACAATGGATGCGATGCGCTTAGAATAAATCACCTTTGCGCACAAACTGATCAACCTCACCGCAGATGACCACACAGGTAGTTGTTTTACCAAGGGTAGAGCTCTGTAGGGCGCTGGGCGCTTTGGCCCGAAAACCAGTATCGAATTTAATAATAGCGACATCATTATATGAGCACCGGTGCAGAAACCAAGGATCCCTTCAAACACACCAGAAAACTAAGTGGTGATGTAGTGTGATATCAGTATTCGCCGCGGGTGGCGACAAGATTATTCGTGATGTCATAGTTATTTTACCCAATCGATTTCAATCAGCTTTAGACCAATTAGGGATATATAACAATAAGCCTCGGTGAATTTCATTTTAAACCGCAAAACAGTGCTTGAGGAGGCATCGCATGCATTGATGGGGAACTATTTAGTAGGATGGATGATGGGACTATATAAGGATAGCCGAAACTGATGTGATATAATTGTGATTTCGGATACGGTATTGAATTTTAAGCGGTCAGAATGACCGTACTGAATGACGTACTGACAACGATAGCCAGTGTCATCTAATTTGAGTGTGAGCAGGAAGCGCTGTAGTGACAGTGAGAGTGGAGCGTCTGGCGTCTCGGACAAATGCTAAGTTTGGGTTCAGGTTTAGGATCTTCTGGCATCTGACAGTCACTGTCTAGATATTGACTTTGGGAACCCATTCCATAGTGCTTATGAGTTGTTCAAATTTCAGCATACGAAGTCGGCTTGGGTCCATACACAAAAAACAAACAATCGAGCTGGTCCTTTGTGAATGTGAATAGCTTTAATATTTCCCATTCGTGATTGGCAATGTAAGGGCATCTCTGGAAATCTTCCATATCGTTTTTGACCAGCTTCAGGCACTGATTTCGGAGTTTCGAATCGATGTCCTTTTGCCGAAAGTCTCCCACAGTTATTTGACAGTTTCTCCAAAGAGGAAGTCTGCGCCATTTGAATAGAGTCGTGTTTGTGTATCTCCAAGGTTTATTGATATCCGGTTTCTGAAACAACATTCGAAGTTCCTAGTTGGCAACTTGAGCACGAAAAACGTCTTCCGAGAGCTGGAATCACAATTCAACTGTGATATCAGAATCTGGATCGTAGGTGAACTCAGTGACCTTGGCTTCGATTACTTCAGCTGGCGGGGTCTGCTTCGTTTTTGTTGGTTTCTCAGACTTAATTTACTGAATTGACCAAATAGTGTGTTGAAAATAAGGTTGACGGAAAAGCCTCAGTATGGTCGGAGGTGGGTGTCTTGGGTTGTGGCTGGTCACTATATCCTTGCGCCTCTCAAAATGCTCCTATACGACCCAGTGTCCCAAATAGCTTCTGCTGAGAAAGTCCTACCCACTACCTTCTCGTAGGGGAGGTGTTTTCCCACCAAATTGAGAGAACGAAAGGCCAATATCCGGGTTGGTGAACCACTGGCAGTTCACGTACGGGATTTTTCTAAAACTAACCAAGAAGAGGAGTATACACCTTCCTCGTTTTGGTAGTGGTCACCGGTTGAATTTTGTATCGAGGTGCATTGGGCACCTCGGATGTTCGGTCCCGTCCAAAGGGCGTATGGTCCGATGCACTGGACACCACCCACCCCCCACCCCCGCCTCGTCTATGGTTTTAATACTGCTTGGCTGCCTTGATGGTCAGGATTTAGTTAGCCGAATGCTTCGGTTATGAATTCCCCAAGAAAATTCACCTGCCTTGGTCGGGGAAACCTAGCGGCATCACTCCCTCGAGCCGATCATGGACCTCTTTCTTTTTATGCAGATTATCATACCGTAATTGGAGAGTAACAGAGGATTTGTTTCATTTTCAAAGGAATAATTCGTCGTGTATAGAGCAAATGAAGCGTGAAGTGAAAAGCTAGGAAGCACTGTACAGCTGTTCCAACCTAGTCGGGTCTCATCAGCAGTGCTAATCCCGCGACCCAAATGGGGACCGACCCCGGGACCTCAGATAGAACGCAAGCATGCTACTCACTCGGCCACCGAGCAGTTGACCAGACCGTTTTTCATGAAACCCAACCAGGTCGAAACAGCTGTACCGTGATTTGTTTGGCACATAGTCTGGCCCCAGACGTGGGTGAAATATAATGATAATAATAATAATAGTAATAATTGTTAGATACGTCTGATGTCTAAGCTAAGGTAAAGTGACCCACCAAGCCAGAAGACGGAATTGATCTAGGTACGATTTCACTGGCGTCCAATTAATGCGTTACTCAATTCGTGGCATTTTCACAGGGAATTCAACGAATAGTCAATCGATCAAAGCTGATACAGGGCAGCAGCTACCAGAGCCCAAAGAACGAACAAAACCTTCGGTCGCGGAACACTGTAAACTAGCGGGACGAAGCACTAACATCAAATAATATATACAGCCGCGTGACCGACTGTTATGATGACGCCTGAGTACAAAGTGCAAAAAAGTGGTGAATAAATTAGTGCAAGGAAGCCTAGTGCGACGGAGACAGAGTGAACGAAGGAGATTTGGTTTTTTAGCATGGCGGATTGAACAGTAATAATGACGAAAAGTCAAAACTAAGAGCGAAACGATAAAAATTGTGAAACACCTCAAAATATCAGAAAAATAGACAGTTTTGGATAAAAAATATTTTACTTTACGCGAACACTCTTCATAATGTCTACTTTGTGATCTCCGCTCATCACTGCTGCGAGTCACCTGTTTTGTATACCCTGACTCTGGATAGGTTATGTATTCTCCAACGGGGTGGTACTTGTGGCTATATTTTTGTTTTCGCTTCTTGTGAATACTATTCTGTTCCTGTACATTACTCTCTTTTTCTCTATCGGTTTCGTTCTATATTGCGCTCAGTATATTTTCTCTGCATTTACGTCCACCGTAAATGTAAAGATCTCACAGTGCCTCCAATACTCTTAAGCAATCAGTGTAACATCTTGACCGCTCAATCGGCTGCCGTTCAAACGTCGATGAATGCTAAATAGTCACCCATTGAGAGTGCATAATTCGATTATTTGAATTGATTTGAATGTTGGTTTTGGATGCTCCGTAACAGTCAAATGTTTGCATTTTTCTTTCCACCGAGGTGCCAATCCATTATTTGTTCTCACTGTGAACTGTGTGTGCGTTTTGCCTCACCTTCATCTGACAGCTGTTTTACTCTCACTCGTAGGATGCCAGTGTGAGAGTCTATCGTTCAAGTCGTATCCAGACAGAGTTGAAACTGACACAATATCGATTGGCCTTGTTGGGCATTCTTCTCGGCTGTGACTACTGGCCGTCTGGCGTTTCTGGGTTGGGTAGTACAGGAATCGGTCGAATTCTGGAATCAGTTCGGTGTTTGACAGACGAGGAGTTGATGAAGTCAGTCGTGTGGCTTGTCACACACAAGCCATCGACTGCGAATGCACTGCAACAGGAAGTACCATTTCGACATATGGACAAAAAAGTTCTGCGATTGTGGCTGAAAATCGGACATTCTTTATCAGCTTGCCCAGTGAATGATGTACGTTACGAGTCCGGTTGTACGATATAACGTTCTCATGCATTCTTGTATTTGTTTGGCAGATGATCAGGATATTTAAACATATAGTTTGTATACAACACAGATTTAAGGTTCTCACAAGATTTAGCACAACACTGAAGCTCCTTCTCCATTCTTGACCCTAGTCTTCCATGTTTTATAGATAAGTTGTTTTCTGTTGTGTTTACTGGCAAAGGGATGCATAAAGACATGTTTTATCCATAGCTTGCAATTCTCCTATAAGAACAAAATAAATGATCGTGAATGGTTATAGTCGCACAGTTTGGTTTCCTTAACCGGTTTTATATACTTTCTTCGCTCTACCGATTTTCTAATGTGGTTCCTTAATCTTTAGGTAGAAATGTGGAGTTGAGTACCGCGCATATTGTAACGTTTTCGTATATGACTGCAATTTTCAAACCCACATACTTTCACTTCCGTGACATGTTTCTCTCCTATTTCTAATTTGTCCAGTTCTTCTCGCATGTAATGATTCCTGCAAGTGTCTATCCTTTTTGAACCATTTATCAGCAATTCAGATGCTTCGTTTTCGCAATGTATTCCGCAACAAAGTCGCTCAGAATGGATAAAAAGGGTACCAAATACAGTTAAGTGTGCACGAAAGTGGAATACTACCAGTTTGGTTATGCTGTAATAGGTGAATTCTTTGGTTGGGTCGATTGATTCGCGCTGTTGCTGAGACCCAGTCAATGGTTCTTCAACCGTATGTTAACGCTGGATTTGTCCTGTGCATCGTGAACTTTACCACATAGTCGAATCATATCTTTTACTACTCGTGTAATCTCAGTCTGGCAAATCGGCCAACTTCGAAGATCGAAAATAGTGTTTTAACCATGCACAAACAAACTTCAGTTTGTAAACATCATCTTTCAACTATTGTTTCTAACAAGCAACACCCTTTCGGCGTTCAATTGTGATTAATTTGAAACTTACGTTCAAGCTCAACAATACTAATTGAACTAACTATACCACCTCGCGCTTGCAATAACTCAAAGGTATCAGTGTTCAAATAGCAACAGGGTCTTTATATTCCTTCATACCGTTGAAGGTCACATTTAAAATTGATATATCCAACAGCTTACATTGTGTTGACTCGCTCGTGAAGGATGAAGGAATGTCTCGTTAACGTCACAGACAGAATACATCGATGGCACAGATATATTCCTTGCTCAAGTACTACTTGNTGTTGCGGGTGTACAGGAAAATATATCCACCTATGACAGGTTGCACAATAGGTACGTACTTATAAACACTAATATGAGAGAATCACACTGTCTGTCATATTACTAATGGATCGCACGTAAGTACGTGGTTTTTCATCAGTATCTGCTGTTCTTGACTGGTGTTAGCCGTGCATATAACACGAGAGTAATCGAAGATGTGATTTGATTATATGATGAAGTTCCTCATTTACAGAAAAAAAATAAAGCGTAAACTGAAAAGCTAGGAAGCACTAGACAATCGTTTCGAACTGGTTCTCATTAGCTGTGCGAATCCATTTAAACCGGGACCTCACTTGTAGAACGCAACCATACTAATAACTGAACCACCGGGCAGCTGATCAGTCTGTTTTCCATTTTGTTCGTGTACGAGCCAACCCTGAGATGCGCGAAGTTGTGATTCCCACATGAAGCTCGCAAAGATGGGTTGTGTTGTTATGTACGGGCAAAATGAAAGACAGTCCGCTCAGTGATTAAGTTGGCAGTGTGCTTGTGTTCTAGTTTTGATATCCCGTGTTCGATCCCCTAACGAGTCGATGAATTCGCCTTTAGTGACGTTTAAAAAGGGTTTGTTTTTCGTCGTAACTTTTCTATCGCAATGTTCTGTAACACCTATCATTCCATGTAATCAATAACCCTTTTTCCATTCAGGTTTTGCATGAGTTTTTGGATACCCCAGAGAAACGCTCTTGGAAATTACCCTCAGCCACCAAACTATGCTCTTGGAAACGGCCAGATCCGCGCGCTGTGGTGGCATTCTGTTGTTCGCGACTGGGTTGGAATCCCGATTATGTGTTGCATCATCTGCTTCCAGTTGTTGCCCTGTGGGATCTTAGACACCCCCGACTCAACTGCATCCCCGAATCTCCCGAACATGATTCAGATTACGATGATGCCGTTTCCCTGGAACCCATTCGGTGAGTTTGTGTGCAGATCTTTTAAGGAGCGTTTGATGGTTCGAGCGATATTGTTGTTGTTGTTCAACATACGTTTTTGCACTTTCGAAGTATAGAATGTTGCTATAGCATTGAATTGATCCACCTTCCAACCTCACTAACTGAGGGAACAATAAAGAGTAGACAAATTTTCTACCTGGGCAGGGGCATCGTGGCTCTGTGGTGAAAGATAAAGGTAATGGCTTTTCTGGACTTGGGCTCAAGGATCTGAGACCATCCAAGCATTGCACTGTCGATAACCGACCCAATCCAACAGGAGCAGCAAAAGAACTGTTTGGTATACCACTCGCCAATATCTGATCGAAACTGCTAGGGATGCGCCAACCACATGAACCATGCATCGTCCTGCTTTGTGGTCAATACTTGGCTGTATATGCTGGAACATGCGCTTGTTTGCTTTTAAATTCACTCAGTATATGATTTCATTCATTCTGAGTTGGAAGCTTTGGTTATACAACTTCCCCCACACCCCTGACGTAGGGATCCTAACGGACTTGGTTGTGAGTATGCTCACCACTTTTATCGCTGCAAATGGATTTTCAGCCGTGTTGAGTTCGAGGCTACTAGGCAGATATTGCATAAATTCTAACTTATAATTCTCCATGGTTTGGAGAACTGATGAACATTGAGAAATTGCTTTTCGTCTAGAAGCCAACAAACCTACCATGAGACATGACATAGTGTACCATTCTTCCAAATGAGCGATTT